CCGGGGCAGCGTCTCGGCGCGCGCTGGCTCTTCTCCTGCGCTATCTATAGCTGTTTGACACCTCCAGGTGCAGAGCTGGAGCCCGGACCACCTCCCACGGCTCGGGATGGGAGACTGCAGCACAAAAAAAGGCTGCTCCGCTGCAGTCCTTGGTTTCACGTTGACACCCTACTCTCTTTTCCTGGATGAAGCCAAGTAACGGGATTACAGGGGGAACTGGCAATCGGAGCTGGTTTTGGGGTGTTGGGGGGTTTCTTGTGTTCACCCTGACACTTCTCAGATGCCTTCTCTCCTGGCTGCCCCATTTCCCCTCCTGAAGCTGGTCAGGTAGCAGAGCACTCCTGGGTCCCTCCTGTTCCCCCACTGCCCCATCCCTTCATCCCCAGGGCTCTGGTACACAGGAACTGAGATGTGCTCTGGCTCCGGGGCACCCCTCGCCTTTCTCCCCCCTGATGCTGCTGCAGCAAACCCCACCATCCCATGTCTTGGGCACGAGAATGAGGTGGCCGACCAGCTGCTGTCACTGTCTTGCTGGTCTCTGTGGGGTTACTCATTGTCTCCTTCCTGCACCCATCTCTGCAGCCTGAATCCAAGCTTGGAGTCCATGGCCCCAAGGCTTCCTTGACCAGGGGTGCGAAGGGGACCAAAGACCTCCTCTAGCCCTGTTACTGCTGGGCAGAGCCTCCCCATCCCGAGGGCTGGATGAGGAGAGGGTATTGCAATGGGATATTTCACTGCTGGGAAAGGAGGAAGGTGCAGGCAGAGTCTGGCACCCCTGGGAAGCGAGGGGGCTGCCCTCCCATCAGTGGGGGAGCGGGCACGGGCACTGGGAGCACTTCTCCCCGCTGCGGGCTGCCTGCCCAGGACCGTGCCTCCACCTGGGCATGCCGGCCAGGCTGCTCTGCAGGCTGCCTCCTTGGGACCCTCTGCTCCTCCCAGGCCGGATTGGTCCCTCTGCTCTCTGCCTGGCTTCAGGAGGGCATTTCTGACGTGTCTGGGCCCAGCTGGGCTCTCGCAAATGGGAACTGCTGCTG